GATATAGTGCTTCACATCCTAAAATAGGGTCTCCTGAAAGAATTATCAGGATAACAAGAGATCATTAGTGCTGTTTCTCAATAGTCAGTCCAGGCACCAAGCCTATTTAATGCTTTCATTTTGCTGTTGCCCTGTATCCCACTAAATTCAGCATTGCCATTGCTAGTAAAAGGCCAGAGGCTTCATCCTATCTCTGCAAGGCCTCATGACTTGCCAGGCTTTGCTCAAACATGTTTTGGCTTGCCTAAAGTTTTGCTTTAGCTTGTTCAGCTGTAACAGCAGTTCTTCTAGTGACCATGGTAGCTATTGCCTGACTTTTTTCTTTGTAATAATAATGTGGTAAAAACATAATTTTTTATATAGACGATACTTATTCTGTACTAAATGAAATATTTATGATCCCAGGATAATGATGCATTGTACAGGAAAACAAGCCTGGTATGATAGCAGAGGCCTTGAGAATGGGGACACGGGATGTGGTGTCGATAGGCAGGGGTGATTAGAGAAGGGACACACATTGGCACTGGAGACCCCCAAGGCTATAAGCAACTCACCAGTGGTCCGTTAAAGAAATGCACACCTGGAGCTGGGCAAAACAGGTTTAGGGGTAACAAGAAGTAGTCTTTTGACTTAAGTCTCATTGATAGCTGGAATTGTCACCTGCTATCCTGGGCATTGATCTAGAAAAGCTGTTAAGCCTATGCTTAACGTGAAAAAGCACAAATGGAAATTAAAGCTTAAAGCAAACAGGATTTAAGCAGAAGTTTAAGTAGCTTGATGAACTGAATGGGTTGTTTATATAAAAATATTGCAGCTCTGTGAAGCTGAACAAAGTTTTCCAGTTCCCTCATGATGAAGTAATATTCCAAATACAAGAATTATGTTCTCAAAATGTATGTATAGTTGTGAACACAAGTTTATAAATACTTTCTTATTTACTAGGAGAATGATCTGTCTTCACAATTACACTGTTTGCTGTATACCTACTTAAAATTTTATGGTCTTAGTCTAAATGTTTATGATTTAAAAATCACATGCTTAAAACAGTAGTGCCAAGGACAAGCCAGTGCCTTAGAGAAACACAGTCTCAAGCCAGCTTTTTTCCCTGAGGATTTATTGATTTATATAGATAGGGGTTTTTTCTTTTGAAAATGGGCTGTTCTCTCCCCCAGCCTCTATACTACGGATCTGTAGCTTCAGTAGGCTGAATCGTGCTCTTGCACCAGATACAGCCCCGGTGAAATGCTACTAAAGTTAGCATCTAGTGGGGTGAATTGCATTTAAATGAGATGAGAATCCAACTGATTTCAGTAGTCCTGATTTACTGAAAACAAGGGCAATCAGGCTGCAGATTTCTAAATCTTTTCCTCATGAAGATAACCAGCATCAATCTGGCTCCTGTGCTCCGACACGGAGAGTTCAGTACAAATCCTCAGCTGGCACGAACTAGCACAACTATGTCAAAACTCCCAGGCAAAGCCCTCCCAATTTGTACCTGCTGAGAGCCAGGTCCGGAGGCACTAATGTCCTGTGATGACAAATGGGACCTCAGATCTATTAGGCTGTTTCATTGCTGGTTCCCTTTGCTGTAAATTCAGCTGTTATGGGATTGGAACGGCGGGGGGGGGAGGGAATTGGGCAATATGACATCCTTTGGGGCTTTTTCCTGGCTGGTAAAGTGCATTTCCCATGTCGGTGTAATTATGCAGTACTAACCTTTGAGCTGTGTCTGGTAATCCTTTACCAATATTAGAAGAAATTTCCATTTTGGGCACATCTTGGTCTTCTGACATCCTGGATGACGCATTTTCAATGCACCAGTCACTAGTGGGCTGGCAATGAACAAAAAGCAGGAGAACTCATCTCTCTCAGGCCAGGCAGTGACAAGTGGATGAATTCTGTATAGCCCTGTGTTTGACTTTGACTACACCATTACTTGCACTATGATTCTTCTCCCACTCTCAGAAATATCTATCTCTACCTGTAGTTATCAGCTGCATAAAGTAAAGGAGAAAAAAGCATGGAAAAATCTAACCAGAAACTAAGAGACTCTTTTGTTACCACTGGCAAAATCTCACGGCCATCAAATGACCAGATCTGGGCAGGGAGCTGGGCCAGATGGCCTCCCATAGTCCCTTCCAAACTACATTACTCTGTGATTTCCTGACAGCAGAACCTTCTTCTGTTGTACAACTGCATAACAAAAGATAATTTTTAATCCAAAAAAACTCTCATTATCTGATCCAAAATCCACGTGCTTACAGTTAAAATAAAGTATCCTTTTGAATGAACAGGGCCAGACAGGACATGATGGACACTGAATGAAAGAGGAAACAAAAGAAAGACACTGAACAGCTTTGTCCAATGTCACAGAAGAGGCTGAAAGCAGAAATTGAAATAAAACACCATGCACAAGTCAGAATAAAGAAGGAAATGGGAGTTTTGCATCACTAAATCAAGGAAGATTGAAGAACATGATTGCTGAGAAGGGAAGGTTTCCAGAAGTAGCACTCTGCATGCGACAATTATTCCCTAATGCTGCCTTCCAGACATGTGTCCAAAATCCCCTCAAAATCCCTATCTCCTCTGGAACAAAAGCTGTGTCATCATGACTAACGGTGGCTCAAGACCTGGCCACGTGCTGCAGAAACTCACAGACAGGCCTGACTGTGGGGAAAACCCACCCGACTGCTCACCAAGCCGTAAGGGGAGAAAGGGGCCCACATTTCGCTCATTTGAAGAGCTCTACTCAGGAATTTGTCTTCTCTTTCTTTAAAGCAGGATACTCAGGAGAGGTGGCCTGGGGACCACGTCCACATTGGTAAACAGAGGAGGAGCCATGCCTGGTCCCTGGGGCTCCTCTTCCAGCAGCAGAGACATGCCCAGGAAGGCCATACAGCAGCAGGGATATCACCCTCCTGCCCATATAGCTACATTTCCATAACATCCAAGAGTCCAGCAGCTTGCTGAAAGACGTTTGTCCCCGCCACTGCCCTGGGGAAGCCCCATGCCTCCCAACACCAAATGGCAGTACAAGGCAGGCTGGATTTTAAGACAACACACAGTATGAACATTTTGAAGCTACCTGAGGCACTGGCAGGCCTGCATCTCCGGCTTGCCACGTCTCCACGGGTGCTACACCATGGGTGACCATTGGCCATCATGCAGGTTTCCAGAGCAGAAGGTGATGGGAGGCGATGTGTCATGGACGGGCTCTCCCTTGGGGACGCCAGGACCCTGCCTGCGGGACAAGCAGCAGACGAAGGTCGGCAAAGCTTGGCAGGAGCATTGCCTAGGAGAAGTCTGCCGGCAGGGCAACAGGTCGCCTGCCGGCCCATTTTTCTAGCTCCTGTGGCTCATCTGAGCTGACTTCACAGCCTCTTCAATACGCTGGCCTCCTGCCTTCTTCTCTCCCTGACAGCCTCTCCCCTGGTCCCACCACCACGCGGGACGCAGCCCTCCAAGCTCTAAAATGCAGCAGGAGCCAAGGAGGACAGGGAGAACAAAGAGCAAAGATGTCACACAGAGAGCCGTCAACTTGGGGCACTTCTCTTTCATGATATGAACACGTTCAGTGTTGCTGCTTGCCCAGGTACCTATAGAAAATATCTCATTTAACCTGATTTTTGTTAAAAAGTCATTGACCAAAATCTTTTCAATGTCCAGTTTTCTGATGAAAACTTAGCATCTTCTGAAAAAAAAAAAAGTGCAAAAATATGGCTTTTAAAAAAATTGTTTCAGCAGAAAAAATGAAAGGACAGGTCACGAGCAGTGTTCCCCAGGGCTCAGTACTGGGGCCGGTCTTGTTTCATATCTTTATTGATGATCTGGATGAGGGGATTGAGGGCACCCTCAGTAAGTTTGCAGACGACACCAAGTTGGGCGGGAGTGTTGATCTGCTCGAGGGTAGGAAGGCTCTGCAGAGGGACCTGGACAGGCTGGATCGATGGGCCCAGGCCAACTGTATGAGGTTCAACAAGGCCAAGTGCCGGGTCCTGCACTT